AAAAAAAAAAGAAAAGAAACTGCGCTCATTTTGGAAGCTCGCTATGGTATATGTATATTTTGCTACTGATGCCTGATTTTGTTCATTATTTCTTAAATCTAATCAACTTAAAAAAAATTTTTTTTTTGCTTCTCGAATTTTTATTTTCTTCAACTCATCCTCTGAATTTTTCTTTTTAAAGCTAATTGTTGAGAAAAACATAGAAAAAAAAGCAAACATACACAGAAATAGAGACTACGCTCATAAATATATCACTCGGCCAAAATAAGAAGAAATACAAAGTAAGCAAACGAGACAAGAAAATGAAGAACAACAAAAAGAAGAAAAAGAAGACTTCATATTTTCGTATTTTTTATCAATGATAGAAAATACTGTTTTAGTTTTTTTATAAGGTTAAGATGTTATTTTAACCCTCGAATATTTTTCATTATACAACAAAAGAAACTTTTCATGAATCTTCTGTGAAAATAAACATCAAGAGAGTGCATAGTACACAAATGAAAGAAAAAAAAAGTTTGTATCACATTGGGAAACAACAGCATCAACAAGACAAATGAAATGAAAAAGAAAAAAAAAAAAGAAGGAACACGCATACTACTTGTCATAAAAAAAGGAAGAAAACACAAACACAAACAAAAAAGAACAATTGTATTTTTCTTTTTCTTTTTTTCTATACATGGAAAAAAGAAGGGCTAAAGTTGCATGTTATTAGCAATATAAGTTATGTTTGAGCTTTTAGTTCATTGTCGGTATTAAAAACAAGAATAATGATATATTCGTACAATAAAGGAACAAGTCAGGATATGTGAAAGATTATAGAAAGAATTCTATTTTCCTTTGAATGTTTTTGTTCAAAAAAAGAAACAAACTTGTTTTATGATTGTTCATCAACTAATAATATTCGATTGTCGCCTAAATAAAAATAAAAAGATCTTGTAAAAGAAGGTATATAAACTAAAAAATGTGCAGTTTGTTTGAGGCTTTATCTATCTGATGACAGCATAAAAATACTTCTGTATACATACTGTTAGTTACGTTCAGAAATTTTGATTTTATCAGAAAAAACGTTCTTTAGTATCTCAGATGGTTTCCTTATCAACTGCAATTCTCAATTTCACTACACAAATCATTTACATTATCCTAGATTTCTGTGTAAGTCTATACGTTTTGTTTTTGTTTTGAAAATTATAATACCTTGCTCATAATGATCAACGGTATCTGTCCATTTCATAGCTAAATAAGCAGTTAAATCATCAAGATTAAAACGATCTGTTTGAGCATTTCGTTTTTGTTGACTATAAACAAGTTGTAAAGCATTCGACATTATATCTGATGATGATTGTTGTCGTGTTGAAAGATATAATTTTGTTGATTTTTCATAATCATCATCATTAATAATAACATCATCAATATCATTTTGTTCTGATTTTGTATTAATTAATAATGATGTGGAAGGTATTGGTTGAAAATAAGCTGGATGTGATGTAAGTAAATGTTGTGCTTGTGGAGGATAAAAATAATGTGATGGATACATAGTTGGTGTTGTTGTATATACGGTTGGCATAGGAGTTGCTTGCTGTTGTTGTTGGTGTTGATGTTCAGAATCATTTTTAGTTGATGCAGGTTGAAAATAATATTGTCCTGTTGGTGTTGCATAAACAAGTAATGGTTCAGGTATTGGCTCAGATGATGTTTGATTTGTTTCATCATCAGCGTCAGTTTCATTTGTTGTTTGTGGTGGTGGTGGTACTGTTGCTGCTGTTGGTGTCGTCGTATAGGCATTTGAAAGATAAACATATGAAGATTGTTGAGTCATATATTGTGTTCGTAATAAATTCATATAAGCTAATTGTTGAGAATAATTTGCTACACGTTGATTGTATTGTAAAAGTAAAAGAGGATCAATATTATAAGGTGATTGTGGTTGATAATTACGATGTTGATGTGGACGAATATCAGAACCTGAATAAAATTGTGGACCACGATTATTATTTCGTTGTTGAAATTTACGAGTTGTTTTTTCTGTTATTGTATCAGTGGATGGAATAGATTCAACTGATGGATTTATAGATTCAAGATCGTTTTCGTTTGTTAATGATTTATTATTATTATTATTATTATCATTAATTTCATCCGATGATTTATTTAATGCTGTTGTATCGAGATCAAAACCAAATGATACATCATTAAGTTCAATATCGATTGATTTATTTAGAAAAACAACCGGTGGAGGTTTTGATTGTCGTTTTATTAACGATGATAAAGACGATGAAGATGAATGAGATGATAGACGAGGAGATAATTGTTGTTTTTCTATCGAATGATCATTGATAGGATTTACAACGGTTGACGACGATGATTGTTCAGTTTGTATCGATGATTGATTTGAAATAGATTCCGAATGAGTTGAATTATTATTATTATTATTTTGTTTAGAAGTATTTTCTTCCACAGGTATTGAAGAATTAACTGGTCTATTATTTGAAAAATGATTACGTATTATTGGACGTTGAATTCCATTATGTGATGTAGGTAAAATACGTCGTTTATCATTAATATTAGAAGACGATGATGATGGCGGTGGTGGAATACGTGATGAACGTAATGTGGAATTATTATCTTGACGACGTTCTTTTGTTAAACGACGACGATGTGTTACAGTTACAAATGGTTCCGAAATAATTTCACTGTTCAAATTATTTGTTATTGTTGGCGATAAACAATACGAATCAATATCATCATTTTCTATTGAAGTATTCCGAGTTTGTTCAAACCAATTTGGTAAAGAAGATTTACCATTCTATTTAAAAATTAAAAAAAAGTTTATTCAATTCAAATAATCTCGTAAAATTTGTACGCGAAAAAAAAATATTCTAATTAAACTATTAGCAATCAAAATATAAGTTTATTCAAGTTCATTTTAGTTGATTGTCAAAATTATACCATGGTTTATTTATAGAAATTATATACGTAAATATCAAATTATGATAAAATCAATTCGATTTAACAGTTATTACATGAGTTTACAATGTTAATAAATAGAGCATAGCATGACTGATACATAGGTAAAAAAGATTTTCTTTCTTTTTTTGTTGAAATACTTACAGTTGTATTTGTCGAATTAATTTTGATAGGATTTAAATGGGATTCATCATTGTTGTTGCTATTATTAGTCTTAGGTATATTTGTATGATCGGATGATTGATCTGTTAAATTTATAGTAGACGAATGTGTTGTTTGATTATCTTTATCAATGAAATTTTCTGATTGAATACTTTGTTCAGTTGATATTTCATTTTCATTATTAGTTGTTGTTGATGATAATGATTGTTGAAGATTTTTAATTGATTTTCGAGATTTTTTTCTAGATGTTGTTTTATTACTATTTGAATCATTATTTAGAGAATTATTTTTTGTTTTATTGATATCATTTGAATGTAAAGAAGATGAATTTTGTCGTTGTTTTGATGTATTACCATCAATAAACATGACAAGTTCATCTACATCACGATCACCACGATGTCCTGGAATTAATTCTGTTCGAATGATTTCTTGTTGTTGAGACTAAAAAATAATCATTTAAATTAAAACATAATAATAATAATCATCAATAGATATACTTGTTTTCGTTTTTTTGCTGTACGAGTTTGATGTTGACGAGAATTATTACGTGATAAATTGGAATGATTTTGTTGTTGTTGTTGCTGATCTTGACGTTCGATAAGATTTCTATCAAAGATAAAAATGTAATTCTTCAAAAGATAGATTCAATCAATGTTACCGATTTTGATGACTAGATGATGATAGAGTATTTGTTTGATTATTAGATGATTGTTGTAAAGGCCATTTTGATGTATAAGGAAGTATATTGTGATCAGTACCGGAATTTAATTTATTATTATTATTATTATTATTATTGCGGTTTTGATCTGTGTTGATGAAAAAAGAAAAAAGGAAATGAATTAATAGAGAAATTTTCTTTTTTTTTTGTTCTTATTGTTAAGAAGTCAATTCATTTGAATAGTAGTTTTTCATATTCTTACCACTATGCGGAATATAAACGAGATTCTCGGATAGCTTATAGTATAAATACATTATTGACGGCCGAGGCCATGTATTGTATGAATCCGACACAATAGAATAGATATCCACCTGGATATGTAATAAATCATGATAATTGTCGAAGATGTAGAGATAGATTTTAAACAGTGTTGTATATTAAATGGCGAGATGGTGATTATGTTAAAGGAGTGATAATCATATTGAAAAGTGAGATAAGAGGAAGAGAGAGAAACCGGGAGAAAGAGAGACGAGGCTACTACTCGGTCCGTTGGTCGATACTTACAAAAGAAGAAAAGAAAGAAAGAAGAGATGGTAGTAATATGAATGGCGTAGTGCACTTGTGCAATATAGTATTTCTCGCTTGGTTCGTTCTTCTTTTTTCTTCACTTTTTTTTCTTCTTCCCTTCCCTCCCTCCTCCTATCTTTTGCGTCGATTTAGATGATATGAAAACAAGAGCATGACTCAGTTTTAAATACACACACACATATATATGTATATATATATATATATATATGCATATATACACTTCATCGTCCAGGCATTTAAAAATCGTCTGAAATTACTCCCTAGTCAATTTATCATAAGTTTGAATAGAAATATGAAAACGACAAAAAAAAATGATTTGTCGTTTTACATTAAAAAAAGAAGTAGAAAAAGGCAAAACCTACCATCATTAGGAGCTTGTTTAAGGCGAGGTACTTGTAAATGATGTTCATCATTATTACCAATTTGTTCCGAACGAATAGCATACGATCGTTCTGATTGATAACTAGTTTGTTCATCTAAAAAAAACCGAATAGATTTTTTTAAATAAGTATATATATATATACATATGTATATATAAAACAGAAAGCAAAAATTATATCTTACTTGAATATGAATAACGAATATCATTTGATTTGTTTATCTATAACAAAATTGAATTAAATCATAACCGAAAAAAAAATTCTTTTCTTTTGAAATTTTAACTTACGGTCTTTGATGATGTTGTATGATGATCATTTAATGGTGTTGAATTAGTAGTATAAGGTTCTTCATCAGATTCTTCATCATTATCTGAACCAGAATTTGTACGTATACTTCCACTATTATCTGATGAAGATTTTGTTGTTATTGATGATCCATGAGAATTATAACCATTATTTGGAAGATATTTACTACGTTCATTAGTTGATTGAGTACCATATGTTTGAGAAAGATTCTTATTTAATAATGTTGTTGATTCTGTGACGGGTTTTTTTGGTTGTTCAGTTAATTCTTCTTCTTCTTTATCATTATTATTAC